TCTCACTTGATCGCTGAACCAAAGCACGTGACGAGGGCAAAATGGTGCATGCAATTTACATTGACTTCAAAAAGGCGTTCAACACCGTCCCTCACCAACTCTTCCTGCACAAACTGTGTAGCGCAAGCGTTCGTGGGACCCTCTTTCTGTGGATCCAAAACTTTTTGACAGGACGGACCCGAAGAGTACAGCTTGGTCGCCAGCAGTCTTCGGGGGTACCTGGGGTGAATGGCGTCCCACAGTGCTCAGTTTTAGGTCCCACATTATTCCTTGTTTTTATCAACGACTATGTCAGGGACCTAGACTGTGATTTCACCTGGTTCGCTGACGACATAAAATTATGGAAAAATGTCCAAAATACGAAAGATACAAACTATTTGCAAGCTAACTTGAACAGATTGGAGGAATGATAAGAGCATTGGCTTATGCCTTTCAATGTAAGTAAATGAAACTTTCTTCAAATCAGCAGTTGTAGAGCAACCAGCCCGAAGGCCTATTCCTTAATCGGTACACCGCTGCAACAAGTTGAGATTTAGAAGGACTTGGGTGTGTGGATTACTTCTTCATTTAAGCCAACGCTGAACTGTACGAAGGCAGCAAAGTCGGCCAGATCCTTAGACTAGTCTTTATGGATTTCGAAAAAGAAAGGTTTTCCAAAATATTTGGAAGCTTCGTTCGGCCTTACATGGAATTTGCTATACAGGCATGGAGACCTTGGACTGTCAAAGTCTGTATCGTCTTGGGGAAGGTCCAGAAGCGAGCGAAAAAATGTCCAAAGGTCTGGGAACCTTGCCCTATGAAAATAGACTATCAATCCTTGATCTATTCTCCTTTTCCTTCAGGCAATTTCAAGGGGACCTCATCCTTGCCTTCCGTATTATGAATAACCTGGACTGCTGCTTTGTCCCCGCCGATTGCTTTACAGGCTAGTACGCCAGCTTTTCGCGGTCATCCCCTCAAACTACGCCCCGCCAAAGCAAGTATCGACGGACGAAAGTTCTTTTTCAAAAACAGAGTATTTGCATCAAGGAACACCCTTCCCGAAGAGGCTGTTCTCTCCACTTGTGTTAATTCATTTAAAAGCCGACTGGACATCCACCGAAGAAATCATAACCCACCCCCATGTAACCAAGGCATTGCATTATACTTCTCGTGATTAGCGAACAGTCTTGTTTTATTACTATTTTTACGAACTGACAACTGTTGTGTCTGCACGCGGAAAATGTAATTGACATGCTTTTTAAAACTTTATTTTGTATCCATACAGTACGCACCATAATTCGTGCAACATGCCGACATTTGCAAAAGATTGGTACTCTTTCGCTAATCGGCATTGACCCAGGTTGTGAAAATGATTATCCTGTGGTCTATTCTGAAGTTATTTCGGTCATGATAGGATGCGAACTTTTTAATGAGCTTCGTTCTGACACATAAGCAAAAAGTATGTTCTGTAAAAAGTAACTACTTCAATAGTATGCGTTATCATTGATTTTGACTGCCTTTATAAATTCAAATATATTTTATGGAAAACTTAAACAAAAAATATTTCTTGTACTCGTTTGATAGCAAATACCGCCTTCTTTAAATTTTATACTTTAAGAAGGGGTATCTTTCGGTTTTAAAAAAATTTCCAAATGGCCGAATAATTTTAAAACCTACTGACTGGTACACTCGAATTCGAGGTTTACAAAGTGCGCACTGTGCACATCCTGTTTAAGGAAAAGTACGTTTTCGCCTACAGTTTGCGAAAGATGTCACATAATCCTCAAAAATGTTGCAAAAGGTGTTGAACATGCTTTATACAGTTAAGCAGCATTGACAAGTTAACGGATAAGATGTATTATGAATGAACACCTCGCAGCCGTAAAAATGCTCATAATTAGAAAAAAATGTAAACCCGAAAATTACCCTTTCTTTATGTATAAAGTGTAAAAAAGGCGAAATTTTCTACTAAACGAGTACATGAAATAATTTCTTCGTAAACATCGCAATCAAAATCAATGATAAAAACGCATACTATTTAAGTAGCTACTTTTTACAGCATGTACGTTTTGTTAGCTGTCAGAAATAAGCCCGTTAAAAAGCCGACATCCTATCATGACTGAAGTAACCTCAGAACAGACTGCACGATAATCACTATCACAAGCTGAGTCAATGCCGATTAGCGAAAGACTATCAATCTTTCGCATATGTCGGCCTGTTGCACGAATTCTGGCGCGTATTGTATATTTCCTATCATCCTGTTACCAAAAGGGAGTTAAAATACCTTCACCTATCCTTCCATCAATAAACTGATACTAATACTGATGGACCCCCGCAAGAGTCCGAAAGCTCAGAAGAATAAAATTATGATTCGCATGATCGAAACGCCTTCGTCTCCTATATACCTACCTGAGGTGGGAACTTTTGACTCTATCCGTGTTGTTTTTCCATCGCCAGAACGACTTCTGAAAATAAATCCAATAGTGATGTCAATAAGAATTGGTCAGCAGTGGTACCTATCGTTCTTCCAGCGATGGCCTTAATTTTCTGTCGACTGAGGAGCTAGTCATTTGGAAAATTTGCTTCATAACTTAATCGTTTTATTTTTCTAAATTATAATTATTGTTATCGCCCTCTTCCCCTATTACCAGCTTAGTACAGTTTTGCATCATAGGTTCTATTTTGTTGCCTAACATGTGTTGCCTAAAGATACCGAAAGATTACGTACTTTGACGCTTCCCTAGACAGCAGTTTGTCACCTTTAGGGCGTTTCTACATGTGTTCAGTGGAATGGACTTTTCCACTTTTGCGTCTTGGAAATTACCAGTATTATATTAAATAATACGATGCTGTCCAGCATGTGTTTCACACTGCTGGGACCACTGGGACCTCGTTCAGTCTATCGATACGACTACCAGCTGCCGAACAGACGAAAATAACGTACGCATCCTCTCATATAGAACAGATTGCACAAGTGGGCAGATATATCGTCGATGAAGACATAAATCATCCAGCACAGCATACCCTTGAAATTACAATCACATAGAAACTCCTTTCAATCTTTTGTCACCGGGTGCTGTGTCCAAAAACATAACACATAAACACGGGAGGTTTCAAAATTGCAATTCTGAAGTTCTGTGTGCATAGGCAATGCCAGAGGTAATTATATGGGAAAGAATAACGTCTTTGCGCATCGGCCAAGAAAGACTTAATGTTTCCCATTTTTTTATTTGATTTAGGTCGCAGTTATTGCCGTGTATAGCTTCATCTTCTGTCAGCTAATCGGCGCCCAATATGTGGATCAAAATGATACAATCACTCACGTTACCCATGACAATGCGCTGCCTGTGCCAATCTTTAATATCTTCTACTTCCTATTCCTTAAAGGATGGCTTAAGGTACGTACTCTGCCTGGAACCTCATTAATGGTTAGCGTCTGCTCAACCGGGTGTGCTTGCCATGAATCACCAGAAAAAGGCAGTTCCGTCTTTCTTACTTTAAAAGGAGTAAAAATGATTAAAAATGTTAAACTCAACAAATTGTTCCTTCTTGCATGATTATGGTCTTTTCAGCCATCAATGTTTAATTTATTTCGCCCGTCCAGGTTGCCTTGTGTGTGATGAACCCCTTCGGTGACGACTACGAGGATTTTGAATGTTCCGCAATTCTTGACTTCAACTTGGATGTCAGTTACAGAGCTATTCTACTGGACGAGGCCACCTACCCAGAGAGTCTGAAAACGGCCACCTTTACACCCAAACCGATGAAAGGCGCCGAAAACGATAATCTGGATGACTTTCTCGATAACATCACAAGGGAGACTCAGGAGGCAGATTTCAATGAGGAGATGAACGAGTGAGTTTGAAAAGATATTAGTACTTAAGAAATTAATCATATTATCAAGAGATAAAATCGTTGCTGTACTGCAGGGGAACGCTACCGCTGCGATCTTCAGAACAGGTTCCATGTGGAAAGAGAAGAGTTGGGACGCCAGGCGGGAAGCATAGTATATTCTGTACAAAACTATTGGATAACATATCAGAGTAAACTGACTGTCGAACGAGTGCACGATCACTCGTGACCTGGCTGCGCCCAAAGAGGGAGTGTGGAAGTTGTCATTGTGTGATCCTGTGAAAGTCACTCTTGAAGATGATTGGCCAGACCGGAGATGGCAGGCATTGGTGTGTACGCACTTGCTAGCACCCGTGAGCGGCTGTGTTGTTGCGGACTAGGGCCACTACAGTTGACATTAAAAAAATTGACAGGGAAATTTTAGCAGGTCGTAGTAAACTCAGGAATTTTTGTGATGGTATAATCTGAATGAAAAGCAGCCCAAACGATTACGCATATCGTTGCCGTTGTTATCGACAAGTGAGGCAGCATACACAAATGTATGCGAAAGTGTATGCGGCATTGTTCGAAAGAAAAGTAGAACACGCAGGATGATGTTAAAAGTGACTCTGTAGAAAAACTGCATGGGAGCTATATTATTTGCAGTCAAGGTGTTCGTTTGAATTATGGTCTACTGTAGACGAAGGAGAATACATGCTACTATCGCAGTGCCTTAAGTTAATAGGGAAGACCCTAACCGCTGCGAATTTCAAGCCCGGTTCCGTGTAGAAGAGAAGAAGTGGGACAATAGGTGAGAGGACTAGTATATTGTGTGCTGAGAATGGGAAAAAGAGGTTAGACGAAGTTGACAACTGGACGAGCGAGGGACCGCACCTGCAAATGCTGCGTCCGAATTGCGAGAGGGCGGGGTCATCAAAGCTCCTCCAGGGGGGTCATGTGTGAGTCAGCCTCAGAGATATGATTGGCCAAACTGGATTGGGATAGGCAGACACTGGTGCGTGCGCAAATGCAAGAAGGTGCGAAAGGGAGGGGTCAGGCGTTGCACTCGGGGATGGTCCAGTGCAGTACAACGTGCGTATAATGGAACAACTCTCTTCTCAATAAACGACGAGTGCGACAAAGAGGTAGTGAAGTTCCGAGTCTTCAATAAAGGACATTTTCAGTAAAACAAGATAAATTATGGACAAAAGGATTCATACTCCCCATTAATGGTGGAGTGGATAGGTGTAGTCCTTCTGTCTAAATAATGTCATATTAATTTACTTAGGATGGGTATCCAAAAGAGTATTATTTGCTGTAAGTCAGTTGGTTGTTACTCGTGCACTCTATCGCCAGGCAACTTAACTAGGCATTTGTCCTGCTCAGTTGAACAGCTGGCGTTGATAATAAACCATCGCAGAGTAAGTGTTTTATTAAACCCCCTTCTAACGCCTCTGGTGGTTTTGCATTGACTAACTTCAATGAACAACGTGTCAACATCGCACTATGTTTCACGCCAAAGTGGCAGACACAATCGCATTGCTGCGAGAAGCTTTTTGGGAAGAATCGCCCAGCCAGACAAAAGACTATGAATGTTTTGCCCGGTTCAGAAATGGTCAACTGTGAAAAAATTATCCGTTTTA